CCCCCCCCCCCCCTTAATCCTATCCTCGATCTGCAGGATTTCTACCGATTCGAGGTGCCGGCCCTTACGGGGGTCTCCGAGAAGCGCGCCCTGTTCCGCGTTTTCCTGGAAACCCTGCGCGATCCCAACCTCACGGGGGAGCACAAGGTCAAGTGCCTGTCTCTCGTCGTGATTCCGGTCCTTACCACGACGCTTGAGGACCCGCACACCAACAACGCCGAGGTGGTGACGGACTCGCTGGTGAGTTGTCTTTTCGCGTACTCCATATGGAGAACCCTCTTATTTCTCGCTATGTAGCAGGAGTATGATACCTCCGGTTAGTATCCAGATTCGCGCGGACGCTTTAGCGGGCACCCCAATCTAGGTGTTGAGAGCATGACGCCGTTTGTTTCACGCAATTCACGCCCTGCCGGGACCCCGGAATTGTACTACCGTATGTGACACAAGATAACACACCCCCTGGACCGATTTTTCAAATCTTGATTTCTCAACAACAGAAAGAGTCACGGCGCCGAAAACGGCGGCGTTGGAACCGCCTCGTCGAGAGCTTTCCAAAAATGTATCGTTTCGTTTATGCATCCTCTTGGTCGTGGAGTAATCGAGCGTTGAAAATTGGTCCAGTAGGTGTGTTATCTTGTGTCATATACGGTATGTACCGAGCCCCCTCACTCTTTTGGGCTACGAACCACAATCTAGCTACGCAGAACCTGTTCGCAAATCAGCCCTTCTGCATCACGCGGTTCACGTTTTGGCCGGGTACCCGTTATCGTACCGTACTACCGAGCCCCCCCCCACTCCTTTGGGCCACGAGTCCTTGTCGCGAAGATGGCAGTAACGTTTGTTGTTTTATTGGTGTTGTGTGGTTTGCCAGGTAAGTCGGCTGGTCCACGAAGGCTTTGGTGGCGAAGGGAACCAGAAGTACCCGGAGGGGTTGCGGGTGGAGCTGCTCAAGCTGGGAGCGCTGCTGATCGAGTTCATGCACAAGGAGCTGCTGGATCACCGGAAGGAGCTCATCAAGTTCGCCTGGAACAACATCAAGGTAAGGGGTCCGGAGTGTAGGCCGGATTCCATTGAAGCTGCACCGCGCCGCGTGGCACTAGATGGTTGCAGACAGCAAGACGTACAAGGTACTAACATTGCAGTGCATCATGATTGCCAAGTTGAACCGCATCATTATTGTTGCCAAGATTGCGCCGCATCTTGGTAATTTGGTTGTCGAGGTTGCTCCGCATCTTGCTTGCAAAGGCCCTGCCGCAAGTTGGTTGCTGAGGTTTCACCGCTTAATTTTTTGAAGTGTTATTCCGCCCCTTCGTGAAGGGTCGGACTACCCTTTTTGCTGTGTGTGCACGCACGCGCGATAAGCGCGATGGTTAAATTGTTGGTATGTACAATATGGCGTTTCCCACGTCCAGCGTTGCTCCTGAACCCTGCTCTGTTGAACCGGTCGGGATTGTTGGGCCGATCAATCGTTTTATGGCGTCAACTGGGGTTAACAGACCAGAGCTCTCCCCAAACCCGCCCCATCGAGTCTTGATGAAGTCCCTTTCTCTCCTTTGTTTTCTTTTGGAGGAGACAGAGAGGCAACGCATGAAGCAACGACACGTGCTGTGAAGATCACGAGTGCCTCGCGTTGTTTGAGTCTCCCCTCGTGTACGAATCCCCTCCCTTACCGGTGGTCTGTGCGTGGGTAAATGAAACCACAACTAACGAAGCAGGTGGAGGACAGCGGGAAGCACTGGGCCTACGTGAACGTGTGCCGTTTCATCTGCGCGTACGACACGCCGCCCAAGATCATCCTACAGGTGGGGAAATGAACACGAGCACAACCTTCGCATCTGTAAAACGCATTGGAGTAGATGCTTTGGTCCTGGTTTCATTTTAGAAATTGTATGTAGACCTGATCCGTCAACTAGTGTTCTTATGTGTGCGGTATGGTGCCCGGGAGTCCCCCGCAAAGCTTTAGCCCTGTCTGAAGTATTTGTGAGGGATGTTGACAGTGATATATCACGATCGTTTGCACATTTATTTACCTATCGCTCTGTTTGTTTGCAGGTTTACGTTCAGCTGCTGCGGTGCATCCAGCCGGAGGTGAAGGAGCTTGTCCACGCCGCGCTCGACATCCTCGTGCCCGCGCTGCCCTTCAGGCTCACGACCGGGGTGGGTGTAACCTCCGGGAGAGGCGGAGAGTAGTTGGATGGGGGTTCGTGTTTGCGTAAGAGGAGGCGGGTACCTACTCGTTTTTCATGGGTGCCCCGGTAAGGCAGAGGGTTTTGAATCAGGTTGGTTGCTTGACTGGTTCTTGAATTGCTGGTAAGAACAACTACCGCCGTCGCTCTCACGCTCCTCAGTTGCTTTGTGAGGGCTTCGGGCTAAATAGCCGGGAATATTGTCAAGTGTGGGGTTGGGCACATCACGGAGTGCAGGTGGTGGTGCTAGAAGGAGAACAACTGCCGCGGGCGGTTCAGAATACAGAAGCTGGAGACGAGTCTGGGTGAAAAGGAAGTAGAGTCGCCCTGTTAGCGATGCTTAAGGGCAAGCACCACACACGCTCAGTGAGGGACTATTGAATGCTGCATCTTGGGTCGGAGCTCAGAATCAACTGGACGCAGGACGCCTTCTGTTTTTTTCGACTCGCCTGGTTGGCTGTAGCTGGCTAGGTATCCGGGGGCCAACTCTGCTAGATACTCCACTCGAATGCACCGGAGCGCGATGGCCATTGCCACTGGCCGTATTGGCCAGGCACTCCCGGGGAGTCCCAGGTCGGAGCAGCGGACCACGCCGGTTGCTACTGCCGTACCCCTCAAATTGTGGAGCTAAAGCTACAGGCTGCATAGGAGGGCCGTTTCACGGCATCGGGCTACCCCCTCCTTGTTTCGGTACACCAATGGACTTGGCGACGTATAAAAACACATACCAGGTGTTCGTCCGATCGACTGCTGCTCCTGCACTGTTCGGAGGATTCGGAGGAGGAGGAGGAGGAGGGGCAGCAGGTCGATCGGGCAGACACCTAGAAAGTGTTTTTATACGTCGCCAAATTCATTGGTGGACCGTAGCACAGAGGCATGTAGCCCGGTTCCGTGGAACGGCCCTCCTATGCAGCCCGTAGCATTACCTCACCAGTGGTACCTACCCGCGCTTGTTGCACGGGTCTAAGCGTTGATTGATGTGAGGTTTTATCTCCTTCTCGCGTGTTCGCGCTCAAATGCTGGGGGGCGCAGGAGTTCATGAAGGCTATCAAGTGGACCAAGAAGATCATGTACGAGGAGGGCCACGCCCTGCCGCAGCTTATCCACATGTGGCACATGATCGTCAGGCACCCGGCCCTCTTCTACAGCTGCCGCAGCCACTTTGTGGGGCAGATGGTCAACTCGCTTAGCCGCCTGGGGCTGCCGCCCAAGTACGTCGTCGTCGTCGTCGTCGTCGTTGTCGTTTTGTTGTTGTTGGTATTGTTGTAGTTGTTACCGTTGTTGCGTTAGTTGTTGCTGTTATCGCTGTTGCGTATGTATGTTGTGTCTGTCGTCATCGTTGTCGTAACTTTCCTTCATTTTGCTGTTGCAGTAAATGGTCAAATCGCACGACCGCGCCATCCTCACGGCCGTTTCGTGCGATTTTATCGTTTGTCTCGGACTACCTTCTTTGAGCTTTACCGTGACTTGCGTGCGCCGATAATAATGCACTTTCCTCATACATGGCATCTGGGATGAGGTAAACAAGGAGCTCTTACACTTGCTGACTGTCTCCCCCCCCTCCTCGATCCCTGCTCCTCCACTCCGCGGCAAACAAAACTCACGGCCAATCGTGTGATTTCTTTCTCCCCCCCCTCGAAAGACTCCCCCCCCTCGGTGTTTGCCATCGGGGTTGGGTTTTCGTCGCTTGGCAACGACGTTGTAAAACAAGCCGCCCCCCCCGGTGTTTGCCATCGGGGTTGGGTTTTCGTCGCTTGGCAACGACGTTGTAAAACAAGCC